TACAACTACTAAAAGTTAAGATTGATATATAATTATAATTTATATACACAAAAGTGACTGGCGAAAATTCAGTCGGCTTCTCACCTAATTATTGTACAATTTATTCTACAAAATACCTTAATACCAGTATGCATTATAGTTATATGATACCGATTTCATTGCTGCCTACGAAACAAGTGTAATCATTAAATGTCATGATAGTAATTGTATAAATATATTAAATTCGTAGAGTTGTTGCCCTTAGTAAACATATCAAACATAATACAAATTGACACTTCCATATCAAGGATTGCAGTTAGTACTTCTTTTTACACAGAGAGCCAGACATACTTGGTTGCATTGGCATTTGGCTATTACGTTTAGGTCTCTCTTGATAAAAAAAAACTCTTCACTTATTTCGATATCTTTGGCTTTTAAGGGAGCAACCATTTAACAAAAAGGGGTTGGGGTTATGGTTTTTTGTTTGAGTCAGAATTTTTTTTCAAAATATAACACTATGATTAGGTATGGGGGAAATCTGGATTCAGAAGTAAAATGGTCGTTCCTTAAATATTTGAATACTTGGCTATGATTGTTCCTGATGAAGGTAAATCCAGAAAAAAAACACTTCAGACGCATGAAATCAACAACGTTTTATTTTCATTTTTCATTCAATTTTATTATCAAAGTCGGGCATGTCAATTTCAAGTAGCTTGCTATCCGGTAGCGGGTTTGCCAATTTTTGAAGACCATTCGGTTTCTTTCAGTTGCTAACATCTATGTCATTTGGTCTCTGATTGGTAGTTATCTCATAGGCAATCATACAACATCTTCTAATTTTTATACAGCTAATTATCTAAAATTCTTAATTGATTGATTAATTCTGATAGGCTCAACGTTCAGTGACAAATATTTCATGCAATTTTAGGACGGGAGCTAATGGAGAAGATCATAGTATTAAACGAAGTGCCTTTATGATTTTTTTCCAGACTGCCAAAACATGAAAACCAGTGATATATAAATACTTGAGAGTATTTAACAAAGTGGCTGCTTACTGAATAGCAAAATCATTTAAGGTTAAGTTAATATAAAAGAGTTTGACCTTAGCTTAAAAAAAGGTTTACATACGGAACAATAATTAAAATATGATAAAAAATGCTGAATTCCTAAATTGAAATTAAATTCAATTCACCTGAGTACAAATACTACATCTGCTTCATAATGAAATATTTCCTTTTAATTGACACTGTTGGGTAATTCACAACTAGGTTTTATGACACATGTAATGATATGATTTTCTTTAAATTAACTTTTCCTTTAAGGTAGTGAGATAAAATCTTTGTCATTATGTGCCATCCACATATCTCAGTTGATATGATAGTACAAAGTCACTAGGAAAATTAATGGAAATTATACTTATAATTTCAAATCCTCTGCGGTCGCCAATGTAATCTCATCGTCATTTTCGTTTCTTTGTCATAATTCAAAATGTTCAACTGACAGTAATTTTCTGTCTTATTATAAATGATGTTTGCGAATCTATGAAAATTAATTTCTAAACAACATGTCATCTGTTTCAAAGCGCTACTACTTGTATCCTCGAGGATTTACAGTTCATCAGCAGCGAATCAACCATATCTAGAGATTATGTCTTCCTTACTATTATTGACGTGAGTATTTGAAATCTACTCTCTGTACAGCCATCTATAATAGAGTGAAGGACGTAATGATTTCATATCAGCAGGTTAAGCCTTCTTTTGATATGTTGTATATTTTTACACTTGTGTACGTGTGTGTGTGCTTTTTTTTATTTATTTAACATTATTCTAAAGGATATGTACATGATGTTACTAGATATAAGAAGGTGTGGTATGAGTGCCAATGAGACAACTCTCCATCCAAGTCAAAATTTATAAAAGTAAACTATTATAGGTCAAAGTACTGTCTTCAACACGGAGCCTTGGCTCACACCGAACAGTAAGCTATGAAGGGCCCCAAAAATTACTAGTGTAAAACCACTCAAATGGGAAAACCAACGGTCTAATCTATATAAAAAACGAGAAACGAGAAACACTTATGAACCACATCAACAAAAGACAACTAATTTTATGCATGTTTTGTTAGTCCACTTATCGAAAACATAAAAGGGGGATGAGAAAACTAGTGTATGCTCATGTCAAAATAAGAGGCAACAGTAGTAACAATCTCATAAATACATATAGAATACATGAATCTAGGCAAATCAAACAAAAACAGAAAGTATCGTATGAACTCCAATAGCCGAGAGATCTTGTGCGTCGAGAGGCAAAGCGTGTAAATCTATGCATGCGTTATTCGCCATGCAAATCTACACTTATCCAAAATGTCACAATCAAGAATTGGAAAAAATCGTAAAATTTCAGATTAGACTACTTTTCTGGTATCTAAATTATTTTAGTGATCTATGACATATCGGTCACCCACTTAGTGGTGATCATCGCCAAAATTGCTCAGTTTTATTCACAAATGTTTTTGATTCTGACGGATTAAAAGCTTGACGTATATTATAGACTGCTGGTTAAAGTATAAAATTGCATGTTGATGTCTGCTAGTCTATTTTGCTATTTGTGTTGTTTGGTTGCTGTCTCGACGTGATAACTTCCTCGTATTCTATTATCAATTGCAATTTCAGACATTTCCATGTTAGCATCTCTGTGCAGACATAAAATATCATAAACACGGTGATGTTCTATAAACTTCGAAACTAATGTATTGTGCAATAACCAGTTACTGATTTGATTATGTTATTACACACTGTCTCTGTTAACGCAAATTGTTTCCTTTGTTAATTGTAGACTGGTATCAACAGTATTCAGCTTGACAACATATCAAACAGTATTAAAAGATTTAAAAAAACTTGAAGATGACACGCATTGCGCACATATCTTACTCTTTCTGCTAGCTCTTCATAGTCATTGAAAATGTATGTCTCTCCTAATTGCTAATGGAGACAACCAAAACATGGACCTCTCATTACAGTGTCTATTATGGGTCAAGGTAATGGAACAGGGTTCAAATTGGATTATCTCCCGTTTATCAGAATAAATCCAAATTAAATAACAAATGCAAGATAGGTCAGATACTTAGGTAAAGTACAAACTATTTCGGTTCCGTGTTTTTCTCTTCTAAATAGTCCCGTTATGAAGCGTCACAAGTTGTTATGGATGGAAACCTAGTTTAATATATGGACAAAATATAATTGGTTGCCAGAATAGAACAACCTTCTTACTATAATATACCAATCTGTATAGCCAATATTCTTTAAAAATAATAAAACAATCAATCTATACATTTTATTTTCATTATAACACTTTAAAGATACACAATTAGAACTAATTGGAAAGTGTTAATAATTTCAACTTAAAATTAATCAATAAAATAAAAATAAGTAAAAGTCTATCATAATCTTTTCATTAAACGTATGTCAGAAAACAGTAACAATAAGTTAAACTCGCAAAGCTGTCACCATTATCACAATCCATTATCTCTTTACTATCAAAATCCTGTAAGCTATAAAATCACAGACTTCTTAAAAATTGGAAGACAATTTGTTGCCAATGGTCGATTTTTGGTATATTTGTTTAAGGTAACATCTTTTACATTGTATACTCGGGACGACTAAGAGTTTGATATATAAATAGTATGTCGGCCAGCCTGCTTCTTTAATATCATTTCTTGTTGTATTGTTATGTAAGGTTGTTCTTGACTAGCAATCATGCTCTGACAACATCTCCTCTCATTCATTAATAGGGGATTTCACAAATTTCTATCGTTGAGACTTTGATCGACAACTTTTTAACGATGTTGTAAATCCTTTGATATCTCAAATGAATAAGTACAATAAAGAACCATGCTAAGGCAAATAATAAATACAAAAGTAAAAACCAATAATTTGGATACGATGGAATATGCAGAGAAATCTTTAAAAGTTCAATCAAATTAAGAATGAAACATATTGCGTTCAATATGTTATGACGAATGTTTCACTTTGTATATGAGATATAATGCGTCAACATATTCGTATTAATAAAACCAACGGTAGAAAGTTCTTTGGGTTTGATATGGGTTCAAAATGTTGCACTCATGTGTATGCATGTTCTCATAATATTTACTGGATTAATCATCTTTAGATAAGTAGACAAACAGTCATGATCATTTCAAGTATCAAACCGTCAACGGACTGAATTGAAAGTACCTACCTTTATAAAGTACTGTTTATTCGCACTTCCATAAGCTATTTATAGCTTTTTCTGCATTTTGTGCTACAAGAATTTATAATTTCGCAACATGAAACGTTTTCTACTCTTTTTGCGCAGATTTTGATACCAACATACGCTCTGCATTTATTGAAATTTTAAAACTAATAGGCGCGAAGTCGTAAAAATTTTAATTCATACATAGTACTCGTAGTAAATAAATAGTCTTCAAAACCAACGAGTTCTTGAAAAATCGAGTGACGCCTTTCATAATATTCATAAAGGAGTTCTGAGCTGACTTTCTGCATCTAATTAATTATCATGATCTCCTTCTGTTCCATTCAAAAAAGATATCCTCATCGTTTTCATATGTATGATATAGATATGATAATAGTTATAAAAATGAAAATAAATAGATAAAAATACAAATAAGACTATATACTATACTATGATTCAGACAGGTATGCAAATAAAATAGAACGTCACTTCTACATTTAAAAAGACAATTAAACAAATATTATCCGTGACGCAAAATCCCAATGTATGTCTTCTTTGTTAAACTTTAATTCATTAAACCAGTTATAATCCATTGTAGTTAACACAAATGTTTATTAAATTTTAATGTATGCTAGTTGTGAAAAAATATATATTTCGTAGTTTAGATACATAGTGATAGTTACCGTTCGATTCTAGTTTAAAATGTTAGTTAAAGTTTGTTTGGTTTTTTTTTTTTGGGGGGGGGGGGCGGGGGGCGGGGTTGCGGGGGGGGGGGGGGGCGGGGGGGCGGGGGGTTAATGGAACATGCATATGCATCTAAAGTTTACACAACTTACTGAATTTAAAAATACGAATTTCAAGGATTTATCTAAGAATTATTGATTAATTGATCCCTGTTGTTTAATTTTCAGTATCAAATAGTTCGTTCATAGTTTGCACAAGAAACAAAGTAACAATGCATTCAAAAGGTGGTTTCTATTAAGGTATTTGATGATTTAAGTAAGCTATTTTAGATTTGGCGCACATAGCCTTAAAACAAATTACCTAATGTATGAGTAACAAGGTTGTTTTGCTACATGAGACATTCGATGAAACATCTCAAGGAAGTTGTACCCCATGTGTGAACTTTGATCATTTATATATAGAGGTGTACACTCAGGGTTGGGTGTCTCAAGATAATTTAGTTAATATCTTTAAATCTTTTTTAAAAAAAAATATGCCTAAGTAAAATAAAAAAAAAAAAAAAACGGACATCGGGACACTCTTACGGTAGTACATCGTAGCTGGTAGAACATTTATCAGTGTTTTTTTTTCAAGTATAGACAGATATGGTAGTCATAAATATTCATTATTCAATGATTAGTACATACGAACACAAAATACATATTAACACTGCTATAAACAGCAAAACTACAAAATAGAAGAAATATTCATTTCTTCAAAATTGAAAGGACAGTTTAACAAATTAAGAAAAAAAAAAGCTCACCAGATATTGTGCAGTCCTTAAATTTGAATATTGAAAGAAATATAGATAAAATCCACTACACACAAAATTCTATAACTTTTGAACGACAACAAATTCAAAATCATACATAAGGTGTTAGTACTAAAATTATGCAAATTAGTATGGAAGAAGTCCGAACAACTCAGATTAGATTAGATTATAAAAAAAATATTATTGGTGTAGTATATTTTATTTGCGTTATCCACAAAACTAGTAGAATCTTCGAAATCAATAAGACGAAGCAAAATAAGTTACATTAATCTGATGACAACTTTGTTTTACGACTTACTGTCAACCTCAAGGGCCTTTAATATTTCCTTCATTGGGGTCACTATACATTCACCGGATGTGGATTTACCAACAAGCATCCCTATGCATCCGATATCATCACTCCCTGTGAACGGTGAATAAATACATGTACCCGAGTCTCCTGGTTGAAAATCCATATTCTGTATGGAAAATTGGTTGTACATTATGTTAGTGTTTACCCTAACATGACTTGGTACAAGGACGGATAACTTATTGCTTTTACTCAAACTAATGAACCTTTCTTGTTTTCCTGTTATAGCTGATAATGCAATAGCCATACTGTGTTTAACTTCAATGTCGATGAAATTTTCATTCAAATATATTGACCTCAAACCTAGGAGGAAAGACAATTGTTCGTTTAAAAAAAGTATCATGCATGAAACATTTTAAGAGTACACAAAACGTGGTTGTTTTAATACCTGTATTGTAAACAACTTTACAGAAACAATGCATGAATGAAAGACGAAAACACTAAAAGGAAATTTTAATATTGTACTGTTGATTCATTTATTTTCGTATAATTTAAAAGTGTATAATTTTTATGGTTCGAGAAAAAAAAAAGTTTCATCATTTGCTCCTACCAAGGAAATAAAAAAAAAATGTGTATTTCGTCGACTTATTAAATTGTTTTATCTAACCACGATATCGATTAAAATTGATATCTCACCAACATAGATGCATCCATGATATTTCAGCACATCTGTCTTATATGAATGTTAAGCGGAGTTTTAGCTTTGATTAAATGCATTTAGATGATTTAATATTCTCAATCTGTAAGATATTGATATAAGGTTGCGACCGAGTCTACTGTCTTATCGATGCTTTGTTAATTCTTAGATTTTACTTACTTATAATATAATCAATCATTATTGAACCGTACACTGACAATGTGTCAATATGATTTTTTTAGACGAACAACATACGAGGGATAAAAAATAATGGTTAAACTATGTTAATTCTTCATGGTTAAAACAGCAGTGCAAACGTCTTTTTTCATAATTTTCACATCTTGTGTGAATAAAATCGTATATTTTTTACATGAAATAAAAGCATTAAATACAAAAAAGTTCATTAGCAGAATAATATTATCATCTTAAATGATCTTAATTAAAATTATTTATATACTACCTAAAGCTGATAGATTATCGTCTGTACTATCGCCATACCCCTGTAACTTAATCCTTAACTCCACGGATTTGTTTGTACTGCTAGCTGTATTGTCTGGTATTGGACTGCAATCTCCGATGGGATTATTCGAAGTGTTCGGCATCTGTATAAAAACCAATGCTGCATCAACACTAGTTTCCTCTTCAGTTTCTGCTGATTCTATGTCGTTTTCTTCCATAGTTGTCTCCTCCGTATCATATTTGAGAATATGGCGTATCAATGTACATTTTACGGGTTCTTTTTTATCATCGTTTCTTATTGTGTGACAATTGAAATGTATATCCTTAGTTTGAAGATTTGCTATGTTTGATTTCCCAAAAATGACATGTGCACAAGTTAGAAAAGTGTCGATTCCATAGTATTTGACAAACCCTCCTAAAGTACCAGTTTCCTCTTTGCTATTATAGATCTTATCACCGATGTGAACAGCGCTTGTCAAATAGGATGTTCCTTCAAGCACGTTTGTTAGCATGCCATTTATTTTCAAAGGAAAATGGTGTTCTCCAATTGGAATGATTCCTTTTATACGACAGAACAAATTGATACAGTTTATTTTGTCAATTGCAAATTTGTCGGTCCCGAAACCTTTCGATTTGTAAGCCGAGGGGCAAACCATTGTTAAGTTCGAATGATTTTTAAAGAGGCGTTTAGCCACAGATTTAGGAACTCTATCTAACCGTTGTTGGGTTTCTGGCATTATATTTTGTTCAATATTCCTTGACTCATTCTTCCTTATGGTGTTGTCCGTTACTACTTTTATAAGAAAACCATGGAACTTTTCTTCAACCTTTATGGTTCTTGATTCATCATCTGTCTCTACGATAAATAAAGGTTTCGGTTGTTCACACATTTCATCTTCGTATTTTCTTCCATCTACCTTGTTACAAATACATTCTGTACCCATCCAAACCGTGGCATCCTTAAATGTCTTTTTGTACTTATCACGAAATTCTGTTAGTATTTTTGAAGAATTTTCTGCAATGTAAGAGTGGATGATGTTAACTATTTTATGATTTCCAGACTCAACGGCTTTAGCTAAACCGGTTGCAAGCAATGGCAGTATATAAGATAATTGGTTACTCTTCAACAAAGATTGGCATTCTGTATCATTGTTGTCATCAACAGATTTATAAAGGTTTGTTTTCAAACTGTCATCAATGTGTTTTGAAAAGACCATATTGGTACATCCCTTGACAAAATCATCTAAGTGACCAATAGCCTGCGGATATGGCGAAGATTTAACGTCATTTTTTGTTTGTTCATGACTTATGTTACTTTCTTGCAGAGCAAACTGTAGCATTTCATCCTTTGACTCGGGCTGATCAGACGTACGTGTTGCGTCATCAGGGATTTTCTCTGTACTCTCGATGGCTTCAAAATCACAGAGTTCTTCACACTTTTTTAGAAATAAATTTGAAATGTTATCATCTGCTGAATAACGGCTTTTATCCAAGTCTCTACATTTGGTCTCAGGAAAAACATTCTGCCGTTTTTTATCATCGGTAAATGTCTTGGTATTGCCGCTGCTTTCCGGTTTATATGATAAGTTACCCATGGTTGTTTTTTCATCAATAACCGGTTGACGGTTGGATTTTGCAATCTTGCACACACTACGACAATCGTCTAACGATTTCAAACTTGATTTTGCTAACCTTTTTGGGTATTTCAGTTTGTTCGTACGATTTGTACTTATCGCTTTTTCGATTTGCTCTTGAGATGAGGACCTGTTGAGGCGTTTTTGTCCATTTGTGATTATTTGGTTTGCATTTAATCCAGATTTATTACAAATAGACATTTCGATTGAGTTATCTTTTGTAATTGTTTTACTTTAGCTGAAAATATAAAATGGTTTCAATCATCATTATAAAATAGAGGCGAAAGATACCAAAGGGATATTCAAACTCATATGTCGAAAACATACTGACGAACCCCATAGCAAAACACGAAAATCGTCAAAAAGACATTCAATAGTACACAAAAACGCAACATAGAAAAATAACGAATGAGCAAAACGAAACGAGCCCACCAAAAAGCGGGTGCTCCGGAAGGGTTATCAGATCCTCCTCCACATGTGGCATAATCAATAATGGTATTATAAAACCTCAATAATGACAAGGTATTATCAAAGAATAAAAACAAGGTATCAAAGTTTATAAAGATCATTCAATCTTTTTCAAACAAGACAGATGTCAGTTATTTTGTTATTATCATATACCCATGCAACCACGCATCCCATATTACATGAAAGGGCCCGACACTATTTTAGTATTTCGGCAGTTAAAGCTTGGGATGGTAATCTTAAGATGCATTACTTTAATATAATCATAAATAAAATTTATTCAAATATTTATTAATACATTTATATTTGAATTCGTCATCAATTGATATTATGACAGATCTGCCATCATTAGGGGTCCAACTGTCCATTTTATGTTATAGTCTTAAACTTTGATCAAGTAAGCATGTTTCCTACAATTCTATTCGTTCAGCATTGAACATTTGTACACATTCTTTTATATGTGTAGACTGATTTTGAACTATTCGTAAAAAAATACATAACGACTGATAATTTCAGTAACGGAACCACACTGTGATATATTTGGCCTGACAGATGAAATCACATTTAATTCATTTAATCCAGCAAAGTCATTTGTTTGAAAGTCTCTGTTTCAAGACGATGAATTTTTGGAAGAATATAAATTCTCCCTAAACGCGCATCTCTTAATTGCTGACCTTTTTTCAGTAATCTAATTGATATTTTGTCGATAATGCCTTGGTCGTATAGTGGATCAGTGTACATATGTCTGTATGTATACAATTAGAAGAACAATAATCCATTCCGCAAAATGTTATGCATGATATTGTCGCATTAATGTCATGGCAAAACATGACGTCATACGAATGAAAACTATCAATCTGAGGGTTATTCCGTTACTTTTATGCTTCAAATTCGGTAGAATCTAATTAAAATGTTTTTTATGTAGAAGTCGTTTTATTTTCGATTCTATTGCATTATTATCGTTAATGAAAAAATCCTTATCAAAATTTGCAACTGTTTGGGTTGAGAATTATAAGTATTAAACATATATTCTTTTTAGAGGTTATTGATATGTATAATGGGCCCTGACGCATAAATTCGGTGGTTTATTAAGTTTGGGAGTTTATCGCCACAGTTTACACACCAATAGCCTCTAGTAAAAATGTGCTTAGTTCTATTATAGTATAATGATTAGTTTAACCGTTAATCCAGGTTTCTTTACAGTTTGAACTTATTCAGTCGTACAACATATATCCATGACAGATCTGAGTTTGTTTCTGTTTAATTTGTTTCCCTTTTTTTAAAAACCAAGACAATTAAGAGAGTCACATATTTTATATACAATTTTTTTCTGCTGAAAACTGGATATTGCCTGATCGACGTCTTTTGATCATTTAGGTCGTTGGGCTACTGCCTCATTAACTCCTTTTTATGTAAAATAGTGGCCCTTAAAATCTTATTTTTATTGATTTCTAGTTTGAAATTAGCGGTCAAAGTGTTCTCACTACTACCCGAGACACGATGATTACCTCAAGTGTAAACATAAACGTTGAGAACCAACTTTACATATATTTAAACTGAAGTTTCACCAAGTATTTGTTCTTATACTTACTGTATCATTATATCAGAAAAAGTGGATATTTTTTATGGTTCATATTTTTGCGATTTAAATAAAACTTTTTGTGCGGGAGTTTAATTCGCGAAATGGAGTCCTTCGCATCAATAATGTTCATTTTATACAAAATATTCGCGCATGGTATATTTTAAGTCATCGCAAAATAAGTGAAAATAACCCTCGCGTGAGATTTTCTACGTTGACAATATTACAATGTTTATGTTGTGCCACATTTAACCAGTATTTCTGACATTTCTCACTGCCAGCAATCGCAGAGCGCGTACGATGCGACCCGTGAGAACGATTTAATATTAAATGTTACTTCAGGCTATTTTGCCACATTAAAAAGTATCAGAAATCTATGACGTCTTTGTATAAACTCAACTTAGATCGATGATGACCATCTTTTTTACTCCCCTTAACTGGGACAGTGGTGTAACAGCACAACATAAAAGACAATAACAATTAATAAAAAAAAAATCATGTATCCAAGAATAAACTATAAATCAGGACACATCAAATGGCTTTAGTATAAAGACGTAAAAAACAGCCTGACATGATCTTGTGCAATGTCAAACTATAGGTTGCACTTGGTAAATACAGCTGTTTCACAAGCCACACCTCTTTTGGGGAGATATATGATATTCATAGATATTTTGTGTTTTGTTTACGTACTGGTTCCCAGATATGATCTATATGTTTCATCTCATATAGACATAACTTAGGAAGGTTAACAGTAAGAAAAACCTATTGTACCGGCGAAAATCGAATTCTGAGGAGACCCTAAGTAAAGGTAGGGGTAGTACAGAATGTTAGTATGAGTTTAAACTCTTAGAAGTTTGGGGCATATAAATATTAAAAATAAACCGCACAGCCCTATGTTTTGACCTTTGAATAAAAAAGTAGTGCATATCAACTTTCTGTTCTAGGATATATTTTTTAACGAAACTTCATAGTAAAAGTGGCAGTTTAAGCCGCAAAGGGAGTTCCTATGGGAAATTGCATTGTCTATATTTACAGAATAGCAACCTATAAGTATCGACAGGAAATAAGACTGTTGCACACACATAATGTGGCGGGGTTAAACATGTTTGCAGACCTTCAGTCTTGTTTAACCCCGCCACATTATGTGCCTGTCCAAAATCAGGAACTTGTAATTCAGTGGAACTCGTCTGTTGCTGTATATCATAATTGTTTTTCCTTTGTTGTTTTGTACATAAATTAGACCGTTGGTTTTTCCGTTTGAATTAATCTCAAAACTTTAATCTCAGGAGGAGTCGCTAAATGGCGCCATGTTAACTGCTCAAAATTATCGTGTAGCAAGTAATCAAAACAATCCAGATTAAGAATATTTTTTGGTTTTGTAATGAAAATCTTTACTTAAAAGTTCCAAGTCCTATTATTAATTTATCGGATATGTCCAACCTCTAAGGACCAACCATTCATCTTGCATAGGTGTAGCTGGGTGGAGGGGTATTGTTTTTTTTTCTTTTCTTCTGTAGACAAATATATAATTTATGTTAGCTCTAACAATACAGGATCAAGACATTTTTTAAATTATTTTTTTAATTTCGATTAAAAAGATTTTTTTATCACTTTTCTTTTTATCAATTAAAAAAGGGTTCATTTCAAACCTGGGGGCATTTTTTTTTCAATCTTTACTACAACATTGTACAACCCACATTATCCGATTCACATGTTTCAAGGTTCAAAAAACATTTCAGCGTATATATGAATATTCAACTTGAAATGCATCAATGGCTAAAGATGATTCAAACTATAATGTTGTTAGATTTTAGAATGTTTTGTTAGCAATAATCCAGAAATTGTATAAAAGGACATCCTTAACCAAACCAAAATTCCTATTGGAAATAATAACATTAATTGCCTTTCAGATATCAGTCAACTTATTTAAGTTAAAGTCCTCCTTCTTTGCAAAATGTGTTAAAAAATGTGAAACACTTTTGTTAACAGCAATTTAGCACTGAAATATGAAAATAATTGAATACGATTTTATATTTTAAGTATGATATATAGATGTCGAATTCCAGTAGGTCTGACAAATTTTCATTTTATTCCATACCCTGTTCACTCTAGAATCTACCCGGATTAGTTAATGCAGGTTAAACTTAGTTAGTGAAAGACAAGAATCTATATATCTATATTTGGCGAGAGCAAGATACAGAGGGTGCTTTACTCCTCCACACGGAATATCCATGTATTTGCAAACACGGGAAGGAATGTTGGTGATGCGGGTTTCCTCTGAAATGCCCAGTAGTAGGGAAAAGAATCTCAGAATTTATGATAATGCAAATGTGATGAAAAGAATGTAAACAACTCCAGTTTCAAATGCGAGTAACAATTTTAGCGCATACATGTCTATTTCTCTTGAAGAAATCTATAAGTGTGTTTTTTTAACCTGAATAAGGGGGTAATTAATTCGGGATAACTATTCTGGGTTTGATTCGGAGCAGATTTCATATTGTAAACAGTTTTCCTAATACAGGTTTAGGTCCGGACAGTATGGTGATTGAAACAAAAAGTTCGACATTATGTTGGTTACACATAGTTCTCATATGACCATCAACAAATCGGCCATGGTGAAAACCGCAATTGTACTTGATAACGGTGTCTCCGTCCTGTAGAAACGCATTTTCATATATATCTTTTGAATGGAATGCTTTATAAAAAAAAGTCTAGCATGACAAATCCGTTTGATGGTCCATAATTTTATCATAATATTCGATATTAAAAGGTCCATGAAGTAAATAAACAATGATATCAGCATCATAAAAAGAAACTTTAAAATCGCATCAAAAACATCAAAAATGATTTTATGATTTGGAGGGGGAAGTTGAAGGAGGTCAATTCTGAATTTAAAAAGAAATATGATTCTAATCTCAGCAGTACTGAATCGCCATCTTAAAAACAAATGTGTACTGTCACTCCACGTAAAGGCAGCAAATACAATTTTTTTCTGATTATGTCTACAGTCCTAATCCAATTCAAAAAAAATTCCGATCTATTATCCTGGCAGTGTAGTTTGCGGTTTTCCGTTTTTAAACCAAGAGATGCCAACTGGATTGAAAACAGAATTTCAACGTATGCAGGCTGGTTAATGCACTGAAAATAAAATTGGCACTGATGTTTAATGATTGCACCGAAATCTAAATCTGACGTCATTGATTTTGATTAACTAGAATGTTTCGTAGACGTCAAGTTTCAGCTTGTCACGTCGTACTTCATGATCAACAGCTGACCGGGCATTTTGTTATGATAGAATTTAGTGGCAATCAACAAAAAAAAAGGTTCAAAGTGAGGATATTGCTTATATTTTGAGTTAATTTTGCTTTGAATTATTAAGTATATTTTGAGCATGAATCTTCAGATTGTTCTGAGGGCACATGAACAATTATTTTATTTAATTTGCCATTTGGTGTGTAAAAGTAAAATAACAAAAATACAGAACTCCAAAGAAAATTCAAAACGGAAAGTCCTTTATCAAATGGCAAAATCAAAAGCTCAAACACTTCAAACGAATGGAAAACAACTGTCATATTCCTGACTCGGTACAACATATTCTTATGTAGAAAATGATGAATTTTGGTGCTGTTTTATAGCTAGCTAAACCTCCCACTTGTATGACAGTCGCATAGAATTCCATTATATTGACAACAATGTGCGTGCAAAACAAACAGACATAATAGGTAAAAATGTCAAAAATTGGGGTACGGCAGTAAACTTTGTGTTATAATCTTTATCACTATAAAACAAACAACTATGTCAACAACGAAAAACAAAATGGCATTTTGACACTACTAGTATATAAACAAAGCACATAAGCAAAAATGAAGGAAAAGAATTCAAAAATGACCATTGCACAATACCCCAATGGTGGGATGTATAAATACAGAGCCATGCCAGAAGGATATTACCAAAAATAGACTAAACAGTAAAGGTTAAAAATATACAAAGACAAAAAAAAAAGAACAGTATAACAGTTAATTAAGATGATAAACAACGTCAGTACCTGTAATCTATACTTCAAGACATCATGTAATATTTGTGAAGTAGAAACAGAATATTTATCAACAAGGTCTAGACTCTTTAAAAAAAGGCCGAGACGTTCTTTGACATAACCCTGGATCTTCAACTTTCTGCTTGCTCAGACGTTATATACAGTCTGAGTAGCAACTAGGAGCTCTTGAATACCGAATGAGTTGGGAAAAGTATATCCCATGTGCAGATGAAGTTGGTATATTGACGGGGGGGGGGGGGGGGGGGGGGGGGGGGGGGGGGATTTATAAATTCAAAATAAAAATCGTCTCGTTTGTCATAGATTCCGGTACTGAGATGACCGCCTTTGTCAGATTCGAAGTATAAGTCTAAAAATAAAAAGGCAGTAGAATACAAAAAAACACCGAAGTAAACAGGGTTTAGATTGATTGACCACAAAAGTATTGTAAATGTGTAAAAACATATTACAGAATTAACGATCGACTTCTCTTGGTTCTTTCAACAATATTTCAAGATTTCAAACTAGTCAAACAGATTCCATGGTAGTCATCCAAATTGATAATAAGACTTAGCACTTTTATCTAAAATGCTACGTCGATCAAGCAGTTTTTCAAAAATTGTACGCCGTGGAATTCCCAGTGAAAATAATTGACTAACCGTTGCTCTAACTATGTCGTTATAAGTATCGTGTATTATAAGATAGAAACAAATATTCTATGTTAAATAAAAATGCAATATATGCCGATATTTTTACTGGTCATTTTTTTTTTATTAATATGCACAAAAAGTATAGCAATTCCGATGAGTTATGATCTTGAACAAGATTCATTCCCTACTTTCACTTTAAATTTGGTTTCCCTTATCGTTTTGCATTCGCAATCTCCTGCAATATGATATACTGCTCGGAACAATATTCCTTTTTATAATGGCAAAAACCATATAATATTAGCTGCCGGAACTTATTAAACAGAGACGACAGAAATTAAATATATGTGTTGCTAGCACGACACTATCATTGTAAATGGAAATCCCTTAAATGCTTTTGCCCTGTTTTCGAAATAGCTTTTCCGTATATGTATATATAAGGAATATTTTAAAGTATTTTATCGAATTTAAACTGTTATGCTCCTCTTCTTACCAACATGTTTCTTTATTATTAGCAGACTGACTTCATACAGGAGCTTTTCAAGGCGAATGAAAAGAAGCAAACGTCATTCTTTAACTTCAATTCTCGCTATATACATGATATAGATGATGTCCGCTCACATAATAATTCCAAGTTTTATGACTATGGTAAACGCATCTGTCCCATCGAATTTAAAATAAAGGGTACTACAGACAGTTATTGACAATGATGGTCGGCTGACAAAAAAAAATACGACAAAAGAGATTAATTTCAACCTCTCAATTGATAAACCAAAAGTTCTAAGTGGTGAAGTTGAAATCACTCCTTTCAAATTTTAAAGACGCCATCACGAGTTGGTCGACCGTTATTGAATACCCGTTTCACAGATGACGACAGATATGTTCCAACCGCCGTAAACACATTACCGTTTTCGTTTTCTCTAATGCGACCTATCGAATTAGACTTATTCAAGGGTCTGTACTAACCTGAGAAACAGGACGGGTGTCAAATATAGAGCAGGATATGCTTACCCGGCTGGAGCATCCAAAATCACCCTAGGTTTTTGGTGTGTTTCGTGTTGCTCTGTTTATATGTTTTTTAATGTTGTGTTTTCATACTGCTGTTTGTCTTTTGCTCTTTACCTGTTTTTTTCCATGGCATTGTCAGTTCATTTTCGACTTTTGGGTTTAAATGTCCCATTTGTATCTTTCGCTTGTCTTTCAATCAGGATATTCATAATCATTGTATAATTATAGGCTAGCAAATATTTTTTGTTGTAACTACTGCTTTAATTTACTTGAACTTTCAATAATACAATAGTATAGTATACAATTATGGTCTTTTAATTAGATTGATAAGTTGTGTTATCTCTTTATGATTACATATTTTTATGTTTACATGTATATTTGATAAGAATCGAACAGACTGGTAGATGCCTTTGGGATATTGAATATCGAATTGCTAATAAAGAATAACAAACCCAAATATTATTTACAGGTTTTATTTTGAGTTGTTTATCCAAATAAGTTACTTACCAACTCAAGGATTCCGTTTGTATTCCCTTTTTGCAAATGTATATGTTACATTCAAATAAACGAACAATCATTCCACCTTTGCTTTGGTGAGTTTTACAAATATTTGGTGACAAACTTGTATTTATATGATACATTGTCAAAATATTCTTTTTTCCCCACAAATCTCTTTATTCTAATGAAAAATAATACACGTTCACGCTTTTCTCATAAACTATTTATGCGTTTCCTTAGTGATTATGGTATATCTTTTTTTTTAAATACAATTTTCATTGATTGATAGATCAAATTCATATAATTTATTTACAGGTTTTTTAAATCAATACTATCATTCAGACAGTATTTCAAGTTTGTTTTTCAGTTTTGACATGTTTGATTCATTTCATATTTTCAAAAACATAGTATTGTTCAAACCACATATCTACAGTATAATAGTTGTGCTAAAGTTTTGATTTCCCATAATAAAATACAAATAATATATCCATCAGTGGACATTTAAACGCATGTAATTTTACGATTTTGATTCTTCAGTTTTTTGTTATTAAATAGATCATAAATGTTTCAATATGATTGTATTTTGTATTACAATTTTTTAAAGGTCACATTTTCATAGTTTTTGTCTGTCTTTTATCATGTTTAAAGTCTTCAAAAAATTGGAAAAAAATGAAAAAGAGGTTATGATAAGAATAAACTGATTACATTTGATAGGCGAGTTCAATTATATTTACTTACTTTTTAGACCTTGTTGATAATTTTTGTTGTTCAAAATTTTAGTTTATTGTAGTTTTTAAAATGCAATGTATCAGGAAAAACACTTAAATATGCAAAATAAATTATAATTTAAGTCAAATACTCCTAAAACGCCTTAGGATTTCGCCAAGCTGACATATGCGTAGATCTTGTCATGCTGATCTGTGTTGTTATTAACAGTGTGACCCTTGCTTGTATAGTTTTGAAGATAATAGCAAGCAATTGCTAACAACTAGTCAAGTCGACATTAAAGAACTTTGTTTATACAAATCACCATTAGTCATCTAAGTGTTATATTATTTGATGCAAACTTTCCTTTCCGTTCTGTATATACGATATTGAGTTTCTTAACATCTATCAAAGACAGCACAATATGTTTAGCTGTTCAGGATGTATAAATACTGAGACACATACGATATGTAATTGGCTGCTCATTTAATACATATACATGTTATTTCTATAACAATACACAGCTACTATCGAGTGAAGCGATGAATCCAAGACCATAATTATCTGGAACTTAAAGTCATACAGACGTAAGAATTGACGCACGGTAATACGTGATTTTACCATTTATTTGCTTTTGAAAGTGTCCTGATACAGAAGGGCCAATGACCGATATCGTCGAATACTCCCACGATTATTATGTGCTCTGACATAAATATACATAATAAAATTGAGAATGGAATAAGTCGATATTGCATTGAAATCTAAACTATAGTGGGACATTTGATTTTGTTTCATCAGAGACAAATATCACCTTTACAGGTTGTTTTGTTTTGTTGGTTTATTTACTTATTTTTTGTTTTGTTTTAATTTGTAGTAATTCATAAGCCAAAGTGAAACTGACAACGCAATGGCAAAAATGTATGACGACGGAAAGATAAATAAGTTTATAAAACTGCTACAAGCCAACACTACCAAATATTACTTTAACGGAAGCACAGACTTAACAACATACAGGCTACTTTTTATTTCTACTGTAACTGATGGGGCATTAAATTTCAAAACTTATGTTTATTAAAATTTCTTCAAAAAAATAGTTTTATGACAAGTCATGGTATAAGGGCATCTTGTATACAAAAATATATTTTCTTCCAAATGTCATTCGTTCATTTTTACTTTGTATGAAGATTAAAAAAAAAAGAAAACAACACGTTATTAATTTCATGCGTCGAAAGCGCTTGTCTTGATTTTCCAAAAAAGTTATTTCTAACATTAAGCACATTGAAGTTGTAGAATTTTTATTCTTTGAAATAACGTCTCCAATGGAAAGATAAAAAATATTATTTCGTTTATCAATTCACAACACTAAATTACTTCGCGAGGTTGAAAAAAATAGTCCAAAACAAAGCAAAGGATTAGCGATGTAATCGAGAAGTCATTCGTCCAAAAGTTTCAGCGACACCTTCAAGATAAATCCTAAAACTTTTTTCAAAGTTAAAAACAAACCTTACAGCGGTGTATTTGGTATAATTTGCTAAATATCGATCAGGCCTGATCTGTTCATTCACAACTTAAAAAATCATAAATTACATGCCGCACAGAAAACAAAATAATATTGGGATAAATATTTGATACACCGATCTCACTGTTTTATATAGAAAAGGTTCAAGTATTTAAAAACCATGAGTACGTGAAGATGTTTGTTCAATAACCAGGCTAAAAATTATTCTAACTTCTAGTTAGGTAAACAAATGGGAGGAAAACATTCAGATTTTAAAACTGTTAAAATATAAGAACATATATCTCAAGCAAGGGTACACTTTTCAATGTCTTTATCTAGCATGAGAGAACATCGAATCAATAATATGGAAGACAATGGATATGATGTATGACATGAAAATCAATTTTTGCAGCATTTCAACTTGTTATATTACACGACGAAAAACATGATGTTGAAATAAAACAATAGTATGTGATAATAAATGTCGATTTCTATTGTTTAGGTTTAATTATTTGTAAAAAGACTGACACAACAAATAAATAAAATACATGTAGAAATTCAAATAAAAGATATTCACTCAGTTACATTAAAAAAAAAAACAAATAGCCAAGTCACATTACCATTTGACATAAAGTGGTCTAAATTAGGTATTGCAGTTATTTAATTACAAATATGACTACAATTGATAAAATGAAATACTCATATGTATTCAAATGTGTTGCTTTCAATGACGTAATAGTTCTTTGAAATTTACTTCATTTACATTTTTACTGGAAAATGACCCTTATAACAACATTTTTATTTATAAACACATATAACAGCGGAGAAAATTCACATGCATGCAATCTCAATTACCTCTTAAACTTTTGCACGAGACAACCATGTATTTCAACAACTGACCATTAAACTGCATTCTAAATTCGACAGGTAAAGTATTTAATTCAAAACTTAATATATACTTATGTAGATATAAGAAGATGTGGTATGAGTGCCAATGAGATAACTTTCCATCCAAGTCACATTTTGTAAACGTAAACCATGATAGTTCGTCGGTTATATGTGCATGTTTTCCCAAGATGATGATTTTATTAGAAAATGAAAATTACAAGAGTTAAAATGTAAAAGAATAAAGATTCCAAAATTTTTGGAAAATTATCCGACAATTAAAAGGCACACAGAAGGTAATAAACAAATTCTGATCTTGATCATGTTGATGGTAATTCTCTTTTCACCACAGTTATGCTCGGATCTAACAACTGACCTTTATAAATGTACACCTGTAATAATAAAATAATATAAATGTACATAAAGTTTCCAAACACTGTATAGATAGATAAATCCACAGGAAAATAGCAAAAATACCGAACTCCGAGGAAAATTCTGAACAGAAAGTCCCTAAGCAAATGGCAAATGACTTGGTACAGGCATTTTCTTATGTTGAAAATGGTAAATTAAACCTGGTTTTATAGCTAGCCTCTCACTTGTATGAAAGTGAAATGAAATTCCATTGTATTGACAACGATGTTTGAACGAAACAAACCGACATAATAGATAAACATGTCAAAAATAGGGGTACAGCAGTCAACATTGTGTTATAATCTTAATCACTATAAAAACAAACCAATATGTCAAGAAAGAAATACAAAGAAAAACAAAGAAAAACAAAAAGTCATATAGACAAAGCATATCACGTCAAATGGATATTACCAAAAATCGGCAAAACAGTAAATTAAAGTAATAATTAACAAAAAGACAAATAATAGAATACCATAACACAATATTAAGACGATAAACAACGTCAGTACATGTACCTAGAATCTATACTTCGAGGCTATCGTGTATAATATGTGTAATATATTACTTGGTAGAAAGTAAATGGCTGTGTTTTTCTAATGTTTGAAGCATTCTGTAATCACTTCGTAGATTATTTGCAACTTTATTTGATTAAGATTCCATACAGTTGAAATAGTTGTTACAGGTACAGATCCAGAATGTTTTATAGGGGAAAGGGTTCTATCTCGAAAACAGTGATTGCATTCTAACTTATGCATGGTTAACCGTGATTGAACTATACATAAAGGCTGTACCAACCATTCCGATTCTTTAATAAGCAAGATTTAATGCAATAGACATAAAGGTTTTTCTTTTCTTCTCTAGGTTGTTATGCATAGTTCCAGTCAAGTTATCACCGAAATTATTTCAATTTTTGTAGTTTATTGTGGCTTGAACTTTAAAAGTTATTATCAGCATGCAATTTTTATAAGTATGAATTGCAGTTTCGTAGGTATGCTATAATGGAAATATTTGTGATGATCCTGCAAAAGTAATTTAAAATATACAGATGGATGATACACCTTTGTATCCTTATGTAACAAATGTATCATGAAGTAATATAATCTTTACTAAAACCCATTAAAACGTAAAAACGTTTCTTGTACATTTAGTATTTTGTTTAAATGTATAAAAAAAAATTTTAAAAGTCATTTATTAGAGTTACCCATCTCAACATGCCATTCTTATGAAAATGACATACAAAATCTATGGTTCTGTACTCCGTATTCGGATCTAGACAAAACAAAACTTGCATTAGATTGCAAGCAGTCTGTTAATTTTGTTTTTAAATGCACATATTACAAAAGATACTGGTCACTGCCAAACAGGCAAGATGATAGTTTAGACATTGCATGTGTCAACATGACACTGTGCTCTACTGCGGATTATGTCCTGTCAATGTCAACTTAACCATAAAACGGGGTCAAAGCCTAATTTATCTTATTGTTTTAAAAAATTCAAGTCATAATAAGGTGCAAAAGATATTTGAGCGAAAATTTAAAAAAAATTGCACATAGGGTCATTGGAGCTCCGACATCATAGGACATATTAATTCTACCTGGATTTTTAAAAAGGACGTTTGAGCGAAAGTTTCTATGATACTTTGATATGAAGTAAGAAAATATTTTTAAAAAGTAAGAATAACGAATACTTTTTTTTAAATAATTATGCTTCATTCAATTTTACATTCTTTGATATAAATTTCTTATATTTATAAAGTTAAATGTTCGTTAGCACTAGCGATCTTAATGCTAATACATTTAGATGTTAAAATGGATATGATTTTGACTGAGACTCATAAGCAAAAAAAGACCCTGGTTTGTGACTGATTCTGATATAGAGTGACTAATGAATGTGACATGCTCCGGGCACATGCAAAACGTACAGCCGATGATGATATTGTTCATCGTCCTTCGAAAAGTATACGTACAGAACATGGAAGAAGCGAACCTAAAATCTGAAAACATTAACAGCGTTTCAAAGGCTATAAATAAAAAGGACGTAAATCTTACCATGCACATCCAAAATCTAGAGAGAAAAACGCACGAAGGTGAATATTGAGACAAATAAATTTGAAAATATTGTACAGATTAATGATGAACAAACTGCAATAATTATTCTTGAATGTTTATGCAGTTTATTGCCCAAAGTTCTTTAAACAATTATATACTATGCATGGCTACTAAAACGGAAATTATGTTCCTTTGTATTTTGCGTTCTTCCTGTAAAGTCTGACGAAAGTTATGTGAATTGCTTCTCATCAATTGTCAAGTTATATACGATCAAGAGCAGTCAGTACATGTCAATTTTGAATAAAGGGTTATAAAAGATATGAAGGATTTTTTCCCGTCAATTGAGATCAAATGCTGTAGATTTCACTAAGGCTAAGTCTGGAGACGAAAATTCAAAAAGGCGGATTAAGACAACAGTACAAAGAGGTAGATTCGGATATCAGTAAATGGTCGAAAAGAGTGTTCTGTGTAGCTTTTCTTAGCTCAAGAGGAAGTAGCAGATTGTTTTGTCGAGGAATTAATTATCGTTTTACCTAACTACAAACCTTTATAGACTTTGTCGGTAACTTGACTGAAACTTACATCACAGACGAATCGTTGTTTTCCTCTTATCTCTGGGCAGCAGTTCCATCAACGTCAAAACGTACAAACAAAGGATCCGAATCATTTCATGCCCATTAAAATGAGCAATTTTATAGAAGTCAGCCATCAATGTATACTTCCAGGACACATAACTACAATCTGTGATTTATATCAAAATTCGAAGTATAAATATTATTGCACCTCAGAGCCGAAATGACAAGAAGAAGAAACAGAATCTCCTGGACCTGCATTCGCGATACTGCCAGCAAAAAATAACGAGGGGTTTTATGTAGAAGACTAGGCTATAAATTTGAAAACCGAACTGACTTGTAACATGTGTATATAACGTTATCGCCGAGTTTTTAGTTTGATGACAGTGCTTTATTATTTTTTTTACAATTAAAAGATGTTTTAAACTTTGTGTGTTATAAACTCCAATTTGCGACTTCAATTTCACATTATACGTCCTTTCGCCAAAACTTTAACTTGATGCATAAAAGAGGAATGACAGACGTACAGATCGAAAAATAAAATGTTCCTTATTTTGATCGACGGGGAATAAAAATACTTTTTTTCTGAGAATTATTAAACATGTTAAACGATATCGTCTTTCTTACAAGAAAGTTCATTACTAACCAAATTTAAGCTTGCATTCTTTTAAAACTTCGTTAAAACCTTGGCACATTGAAATGTCATTCTGTGTCTGAGTACATTCGATGAATTGTCTGAACTCCATCTGACATGGCTGCAGTTGTGTCTGTTGGTAAGCTGGTTCCTGGTATGTTGGGAGGGTTTCACCACCACTGCCACCAGTCATAGCTGCATCCAGTGTATGGCCCTGCAAAGCATAAATAGTGGACTACATATTGTAATTGTATTTAACATTTTAATATATGTGTTTATTTTTTCGAAAATAAAATGTTAAGCAACATGAATTCATGACTTGAATATATCTACCGCAAATGAAATATGATAAATTATCAAATATTGTAAAGATTTCGAAATATGTTGTGTTGATGATTCAATGCTAAATAGATCTAATCGTCTTCTTAAAAAAAAAAACAGAATACATGCAAGATTTATTCACACACCAAAACAATAGTTACTTGGCCGCAGCGCTTAGTTTTGGCAGAAACGGTTCAATTAAGGTAAACCGATTTAATTGTTCGTAGACTTTTTATACCTGTATGTGTCGTGTTCGCAAGTCTTAAGATGAAAGAAAAAGAATTGGAATGACCATTTCATCAATTGGCATATGAGACAATCTAGAAGTTTTGTCCATACTGTGTCATACTAACTATGGACGGATGGGAATCTCAGAATCAACCTTAAATTGATGAATATCATGAATATTGGTGTTTATACTGTTTAACAAAATATCTGGTCAAACACGGACAGATAACGTCATTGTTCAGTTTTCCTTCTTTCTGTGAGTGATTGATTTTAATAGTCACTTGAACACAATCCTGATTACACATGTATTTTCGATAAGGTTTAGTTTAATCCAATTCACCTAATAATGATTTCCTCCTGGAACCACTATTAAGTATGATGACTCTATTTGTTTAAATTACATTCTGAACTGGTTGAGATCATAATCTCTTTCATAATTGTTTCTATTGTTAATTAATTCTAAAACCTATCAATCTGATACACGTATTAGAGTTATTCTCTAGTTAAGCGAAGTTCATAGGAAGTACAAATATAGAAGTATTGCAATCGATAATGTGGCCCTGCCCATGGACAAATGAATAATTCAAATTTTATCATAACAATATTTTTGTAGATACATGATACAGTACTAGTACATAATATGCATGAAGCCATCAGAACCGATATGTCAAACCCACACGTACGTTCTCTCATTATGGATTCTCATTTCAATTTGTTAAATTAATAATTATTATAAATTTTTAAGTAACTTAAAGTTAACTACATTTCATATTCATGTCCACGCTAATCCAATTTAAGGAAAATTGCACATTATTTCATTTTGATTGAACTGATGTTCATTTTTGTAAAACATGAATTGACACTGAGAAGGTCTAACTGTAATTTTCATTTATTTTTTTTTGACTTTATGCAAACTCTGTAAATGATTAGATATTACTATTTTGGTTAATTACCTACCACAGCAGAGCCAACAGCCACTCCAGCTGCTGTGGTAGCCATTTGTGCCATTAATCCTGGTTGTCTTGGCTGTGTTGCAGGGGGATGGGCTGGTGCTGCTGGTTGGGCTCTGGCAGGCACAAAACTTGGAGACCGGCGTCTATATATTATATATATATGAAATATATAGGTATGTACATGTTAAGCTATACATATTACAAGTTGTTTCAAATCTAATGACAGACACAACTATCAAAATAGTTTAACCCGGCAATGATAATGAGCCTGTCAAAAAATTAAATTTGTCAGATTGCCAAACCAGCCATTGTTTTTAACTTATGCTTTTTTCAGAAATTGCTAATGATGAAGTATGATGTATGTTGTGTTGTCTCTTGAAAATATTTTATCATACATTTACAAATGTACAGTAGACTAGTAAACATCAACATTGTACTGGTTTAGACCATCATCAACAGTATCCTTCGCAAACTCAGATATTCCATCTAATTCCTGATACGCGTAACTGAATTATTTGGAAGATAGAAGATCATTTGAAGTCGACAAAACCATTGAAAATAATTATCCCAGAATGTTAAAACTAATAATAATTGCATGAGTACCTTATTAATCCCAGTACGCCAGGAAAGCCTTGATTTTGCCATGAAAATTGAAAAATTGTTATATCATATCTAAAAACCCATATTTACAATCTGAAATATGCATATTTTTGACAAAAACAAGTTTATTTTTCTGTCTACCAATGTTGACACCTTCTAAAGTAAGAAACTATCGTGCAGTTTTATCCATATTTCCGGTTTAAGGTGGTACCCAACACCTTGACTAATATTAATTTGGCTCGTTTAATTTTCATAAAATTTTGACAAAATGTTTACTTTGACCCTTTGACAAAAATATAAAAATTTCAAAAAATTTGAACCAACCACTTTATCAGAAAAATTTCATTGATTATATAGCAGTTTGACAAACACTAATTTTGATCATTGAGAAGCTTAATATTTCCTTAACAATACAACGTAATTAAAACGTTTAGCTGATTTTTACAGAGTTATCTCCCTGTAGTGTTAGGTACCACCTTAAAGAGATCTGATATAGTTTTACGTCGAACTGTCATTTTTATCCTTTTGAAATATTTTATATGTCTATATGGTCAGAAAACCATGAAATAGAACATAGATTATGGTGCTATTTTAAAAAAAAATGAGACAGAAAATTTCGGAACTTTTGCATTTTTGTCATGCATGAAATCATGTTTATCAAGCAAAAAGTGCGATTTTAATTTACTTAAAAATTCAAAACTTATGAGGTTCTTGTATTGTCATTTTTCTACATTAACTCCATTTTGTCATGCTTCTCGAAATAGCAAATAAAAATAGACGTGATCTTTTCTTAAAAAAAATCAATTTCGGCACAATATAAATGCAAATATAAAGTTTGTTAAACAAATGTAAATGTTTGAAGTGTTTGTAATTTGTGTTGTACTGAACTCCCAGACAGCAGGGTCACTGTCAAGGGCATTGTCTTCAAATTTTCATTATCAAATATGTGGTGTTTTTTTTTTATATCTTCAGTGATTTTTTCCTTGCATATGTATGGTCAGTCTTAAAAACCCTTTTACATTTTTATCAAATGGAATTATATGTAGTTCTTTTTTGTCTTCTTGTAAAAGTATAAAAAAAAAAGCTGTAGACATTTATGCAAGATACCTTCGAGCTGGAGCTGATCTTTTTCTTCTTGGCATTTTGTATTTATTTTCTGTGCTGTTAATGTTCGAATGTGTAATTTGTTTTCGTTTCTCCTTGATACGACGTTTACGTAACTGTTTAACTATCAGTCTAGGTCCAAATGTTTGTTGTCATGTATAAGGCTGATGTTATGGATCACAGAAACTTCTGAAAAAAATTAATACGTATTTTATTCGAACAAATAATAAATGTTAATTAAACAAACTTTCGCTGTTGAAATTTAAGTTTTTTTTCTTTCTAAATCTCTCACTACGTTATCAAATCTATGTTCAATAATGTATTTACTGTCAAGTATGTTCTCATACTGACAAAAATATTACTTGGTTCAATACAAATATCGTGTTGTGTTGTTCTGTGTTGTGTTGTGTTGTGTTGTGTTGTGTTGTGTTGTATTTAATAGATATCAAGATACATGAGCTTCAAAGGGCAGCTAAAGGTATAATGAACCAAATAAAAAAATATATGCAATGTCAAAACTTAAATATATATCAAATATATACTGTATAGATAAATTATAGAGTCCTCCTTCTGGCCTGTAACAATTGTATTGCATGGATAACTTTTGGTTTTCACAAAGTACAAATGAAGTAAGGAACACGGACACAACCTCCAATACAACTTGTAGGCGTTCCTATGCGAACTTGAAATTATTGTGAGGTCTGTCTAACAACTCAGATTCATTTGGCCTTACCTGCATATATGGAGTTTTACGACTAATGCGTTCTTCGAGAAAATATTTACAAAAAAAAGTTTAATTGGTATTTAGGCATAGAATTTGACAAAACATTTTTTTTAAAGAGAAGCGAAATATACCAACGGGACTTTCAAACTCACAGGTCGAAACCAAACTGACAACGCCATGGCTAAAAAAGAAAGAGACCAACAGACAAACAACACAACATAGAAAACTAAAGACTGAACAACACGAACCCCACCAAAAACTGGGGGTATCTCAGGTGCTCATTGCTTATTTTGCTTATGTCTTGCTTATTTTGTCTTGAAATTACATCATGTAGTTCAGCTATTATTTTGCATCACTTGACGTCTCTCTCCTTATTTATGTTGTTGTTGTTAATGTTTATTCACTGGCAATAAGTGGTTTTGTTTTGAATCCTATATGATAAACATTTCAGAATTCTCCATAAAATATTAGAATATCCAAAATCTAATACAAATGTTGAAGAGAGGATCAAACCAAAAAGGACATAAAGTATAGCAAAATTTGGATAAGGAATCAGAGCTTTGCATAAGGGATATATATTCCTAAATTTTAAATAATTTCCAAAATTTTATAACAATACATTTTAATCAAAAAGTATCTGTATTTGCATGTCAGTACCGAAGTACTGGTTACTGGGGTGGTGATACCCTAGGGGACTAACAGTCCACCAGCAGAGGTATCGACTCAATGGTAGTAATAATATAAACGGTACCAATTTAAATGCACCAGATGCGCATTTCCACAACTAATGTCTCTTCAGTGATGCTTTGATCATGTCTGTTCCGTTGTCTGCAAAGTTATTCAATGCAACTAGATATTTCTTTGGGTAGAAACCGGCCAATATATGCATCAAATTATTTTTTCTGATTGACTTAAGTCCATTTTCAATTTTTGGTTTAAATCGACACCTTAAACATTTATTACGATTGTTGATTTCATCGTCCTTGCTATGGATTAAATATTGTCATAAGGTGAGAGATTGGCTACTCTATAACGTGTTGTGTATGACGTACAAATGAATAGATTACTTTAGCTGTATTTGCAAAAAAAAGTAGGAATTAGGGTCGTCAATGCTCTTCAACATTGTACTTTTTTTTACTTTTTTACATATTTTTTTTATTCGAGCGTCGCTGTTGAGTCTTTTGTAGACGAAACGCGCGTATGGCATACAAAGTTTCTATCCTGGCATATATGATAAGTTTATTTCAATGATATAAAGTAAATGTTATCATATTATCATAAAGGAATGGTTTCTTCGATACAATAGGCAGCATGTCCATTCATAAAACACAATGGAGAGTAAAGCTAGCATATTTGTCTTAAAACATACAACGTGTTTCTCCACGTAGTAAATAGTAAATAACATATATAGACTACATGTACATACAAACAAATTTTGAAATATAATATAAGAGGGATATACAATCAAGATTCAGGGGTCCCACAAATATACCTTTGCGAACAGATGACTTCTTAAACTTAAATTGGCAAACAATCAATTGAATTTGAAAGTGATACAAGATTAACTGGAAGTTAATCAGTCAAGCATTTTCAATACTTCCACAGGGAATTATTCAGCTACAAGAAATGGCTTTTCAATTTTATTCTCGGATTGATTATAGATGTTCTTTGCAGTACATATAATATTCTTGTTGATAGTATACATATATGATTGTGTTTTACACTTAAAATCAAATGGAAAGGAGATATCATGATTTGGTTTGTGACTATCAAGGCCTCACTGTGACGTTGAGATGAAGAACAACAATAACAGACATGTGTCTTGGTTGTGTGTTGATAAGTGCAATTAATAATTTTCCGTCATAAAAAAATACTCTATGCCCTTTCTCTTCCATGAAATATCTTAAGACTTAAATTTTGGGCTTTCTTGTTGTATTCAACGATGAGGGAGTGGTGGATGATTAGGTTTGAAAAAATTTCTAATTAAGTGTTGTTTTGAATAAACTGTAGGCGTGAAAAAGAATTTGGCGTTCAAAGGTGCTCTTTGTATTTGTAGGTTTTATTGGTTATGTGTTGATAAGTGCATGTAATAAGTTTACGTCATAAAAAAATACTCTATGCCCTTTCTCTTCCATGAAATATCTTAAGACTTAAATTTTGGGCTTTTCTTGTTGTATTAAACGATGAGGGAGGGGTGGATGATTAGGTTTGAAAAAAATGTGTAATTCAGTGTTGTTTTGAATAAACTGTAGGCGTGAAAAAGAATTTGGCGTTCAAAAGTGCTCTTTGTATTTGTAGGTTTTATTGGTTGTGTGTTGATAAGTGCATGTAATATGTTTCCGTCATAAAAAAATACTCTATGCCCTTTCTCTTCCATGAAATATCTTAAGACTTAAATTTTTGGCTTTTCTTGTTGTATTCAACGATGAGGGAGTGGTGGATGATTAGGTTTGAAAAAATGTGTAATTCAGTGTTGTTTTGAATAAACTGTAGGCATGCTCTTTGTATTTGTAGGTTTTATTATTATCACTCGAATTTAAAAACAAACGATACGTCAATAGGAAGAAATGATATACGATAGCATTTTAAATTTGTAATCATTTTCGTTTTGCATTATAAACTTAATCGTCCTTAAAAAGACAAAGATTTCTACTTACATCTAATCTCGCCACTTGAATTTTAAACTGTGTTTGAGAACAAATGAAAATATGATACAATAAACATTGACAACAAATGTAGATTTTGTTTTCTGGAGATTTAGACTTCCTAGAAATCATTTACATATCAAATACCTTTTCAACAGTTGTATGTGTGTATTTAAATACCGGCTCAAAATAAGACTAATCAAATGTGGAAAACTTATTTGTATCATAATTTTTAAGTTATTATGATATGTAAACTGTTCTAAAATGATCTGTAATGTAACATATGAAAATAACACTTTATGAATTTCGTGCTTTTATTGAATTTTCTTACTATATTTGGTGTATTTGTAAAACAAAAAATGTATAACGGTTATACTGAGTCTGTTACCTAAATAATGAATACTTATTATTATCATAAACATCAGACACGCGGTGTTGTAAACTAGTCAGAAAGAACATATTTATACAACATTGTACAATGTGTTGTATATTTTTCTTATCTTTTTACTCACTTTTTCTGGAATGCTTTGTACATTACAATCCAGATTGTTATGTGTTTTTAACATTTATCGCCATTTTAAATATAGAGTTTCCTTATGCAATTGTGTAGTTAAATCTCGTGATATCTATGTAAAGCATAACAAAGAGAAATAATTCTATAAATAAATATGAATGAAAGAAAGAATGAAAGAAAGAAAGAAAGAAAGAAGGAAAGAAGTTATATGTTATACGAAAATTAGATAGTCAAATATCAAAGCAAAGTAAATTAAATCCTGCTGCACTAGTGGTACCCGTCAACAGACAAATATAGAAAGCGGCACTAGCTGTCAAATTCATGTTCACCGATCTGACTCAAATTCTCATATTTGATGTATAACAATGTAAAATATTTATCCAAATTATGAAAAGTCTAAAATAATCAATTTACAGGGCATGGGCTCGATAATATGTAGCTTCGTTTCGTGTGTATTTTAGTCTATACGCCATCTAATTAACTATCAGGTTGACCTCCGATAACCCCCGATGGCCATATAAGCGATATAAACATAAATTTAGATATAAATAGAAAACGAAATCCTGCAACTGGAATTTTCTAGGTCTGTTTAATTTTATATTATAGATTAAAAATATATGTTAATCATCGTTTTTACCTGTAAAAGAATGGTTTTTGTGGATCAATCAGTCAATCAAATGATTTACCTTTGTTTCACTTTCAATGTTGACATTCTTTTCCTTTAAATAACTGAGCTAAGGGGTTAAATTGAAGTTCACATGAATACGGATTCAATGAGGTCGAATTATTCACTTGCAAGTGAATAATTCATCATCAATGTTTCTTAGCTTATTTTGACAAAATTGAACCATACTGGCTGCTAAAAGCGAATTATTATTTCACTATTTCACTTTCATTAATGATTGAACAAAACAAATCGTATTTTATATTTTTTATGTATCTCATAGCTAGTGCCCCTTTAAGACAGGATAATTACAAATGAAATAAATGTCAAGAAAAAACATATATGAATAAGGAGATTGCATTTATTATTAAATATTCACCAAAGGACAAAGATGTTAGTAACTACAGATCACCGTACGGCCTTAACATGTTTATCAAACGAGCAAACCCCATATGATCACTATACAATTGTTTTAAAATGTATCTTCGTTATAGTCTGGTTCATTGCTTCAAAATTATTTAATGTTTAATGGATACTTATATGAACAGGAACCAGCCAAAATATTTATCAGTTATTGTTTCGTGATATATTATCTCAAGTGTCATAGTTTGTTGATGGAATTAATCATTTATGCAATAATCCATTTGTGTAATAAAAATGACAATCTCACAAATATGTTATAAAACGATAAACATCTTGGCTTTTCAAAACGCTCATCATCTGTAATGGCTTGTATTCAAATAAATGAGTTTTTATTCATATGGTTCACGAAATGTTAACAATGTCATTTTAGTGAGCTCTCGAGAGGTTTAGCTAGCTATAATACCAGGTTTAACTTTTTTCTTTGGAAAATGCGTGTACCAAGTCAGGAATATAACAGTTGTTGTCCATTCATTCCATTGGTTGATAAAGTCTAATGTTTGAATGTATCCTTTTTATAGACTTTAATTCCTTTTTGAATTTAGCTTGGAATTATTTATTTTTGCTACACTTTTTCACTAGCACTAATCGATACCACTGATGGTGAGCTGTCACTCCAACCGGGGGGAGGGGGGCCATCTTAGTGGTCAGTGCTTTGGTAATGACGTCATTTATTACATACTATTTTTGAAATTCCCCGTTGACATGGTCGATGAATTAGTAAATGAAGAAACTAAGGTTTCAACTCCCTCATTCTCATCATAGATACCATGATTAAGATGCGCGCGGTCCGTCTACAAAAGAATCATCAGTGACGCTCGAATAAACAAAGTTGACCTAGATGGATCTAACAATGTTTTTATGTCCATTCGTGGTTAAATAAATCCTAACTTGTCCACGTTTTGGTACATCTTTGGCTTTTAATTGTTTAGGTTTCACAGTTCCCGATAAAGATCAATCCAAAAAAGCGATTCGGATGCACGAAATTTGTATAGTGTTGTTTTCATTTTATTGGCAATGTTTTTATCAACAACTCGAATACTGAGGTCGTTGATCTTCCGATGAGTTCAAATTGTGGTGATTTTGTTGGATATGAACATCTCTAAAACTTGTTTAGTAAGACATGCATTTTTGTTGATTGTTTGAAAATATATTATCATGATAAAAAGATTGATTCCTTCAAATAAAATGGGCAAGATGTCTTTTATAAAACGCTAAGGAGAGAAGGGTTTATACTCGAATATTTGATGAAGAGTTTTTAGCACGTATGTCATGTATGTTTTTTTTTTAGAAACATACAACTTGTTTTTCCACAGAAAGTATATGATAGACAATATATATTTTAATATAAGAGGGAATATAACGTATCGAAATTCAGGAGAGACAAAATGATCCTTAACGAACAGTGGACATGTTAAATTGAAGATTTCGACAAAAACAATCCTGAACCATTAAAAATGAGATTAATAATAACGGTATTATTATGACTAAAAGTACTTGTTGTACGTATCTCACCTTTTCTGTAGCGTTTTGTTATTTTTTCTCCTGATTGTCATGTGCTTTGTTTATCGCCCTTTTCAATGGGAAGGTTTATTATATAATTGGGTAGTTAAATCTCATGACATTTAAATGAGGCGTAACAAAGCAAAATATTTCTATGAATACATACCAATAAAATAAGTTATGCGGTAAACGTCAATGAGGTAGTTACATACCAAAACAAACAAAAAATCACTTCAAGACTAGACAAAACAATCGGTATTCTAAAAAAGAACTGAAGATAAAAGGGGACATTCAAAACTCATAAATCGAAGGTAAACTAACAACGCCATGTAAAAAAAATGAAAGATAACGAAAAAGTAAACAAAGCACTACACATAATAGGTGCTCCGGATAAGGTGTGCAGATTGTGCTCCACTAGTAGCACCCATCAACAGATAAATATAAATAAAACCAAAATGTCAAGTCTAAGCTGGGAATAACAAATGTACTAAACGTCAAGATAAATATATATGAATAAAGAGACGTTGTATATCTGAAATTAGGCAAATATTTACCAAGAGCAAATATGTTAAGAATGAAAGGTCACCATATAGAATCTTAGGCAATTAGCCAAATACGCTCAAAATATATTCAAGTCAGGAATATGACATTTGTTTTCCATTCGTTAGATGTGTTTAAGCTTTTGATTTTGTCATTTTATAAAGGACTTTTCGTTTTAAATTTCCTTTGGAGTTCGGTTTTTTTGTTAGTTCACTTTTTTCTGTAAAAAAAATTAAATTCCATTAAAATGGTGAGCTTGTCATGAACTCCCTTTAAACATTACAGTATGATAGAAGTTGGCAATTAACTGTGATTTTATTTTTGCTTAGGTACAAGCAAGGTCAAGCAAAAACATATATTTATACCTCCCAAGATACATTTGTACATAATAAAATACATTTTTTTATATTCAACAAGAACCAAATATGATACTAGTATACTACAAACACTGAATTACAGACTCCTAACTTGGGACAGGCACAATCAGAATGTAGCGCGGTTAAACATGTTTGCTGGTGCCAAACCCTCCTCCCATCGGTGTAACAGTACAACATAACAACAAACTATCAAAATCAGCTTAAAAGGGCTTAACTCATCAGATCGATGCAAAGCACAAAAACTAACATAAACACAAAAGACACAAAGTATAGATCTGAGAGTACCGCCAGTCATTGAAAGCTAGTTCAAAGCTTTAACAACTAATAAAGAAAACCTTCATGTATCTAAGACTAAAATATTAATCAGTACACATCAAACATCCAATAGATTTAGTGTAAGGACGTCATTAACAGTCAGAGACCTTATGCAACGGCAAGATACAGGTATCGACAGATTGTAGAGCCATGACTGTGCATATGTTTATAAAAATAATATCTAGTTTAATCTACTGATAACAAAATCAATATTTATACCAATAAAAACAATATTCAAAGATGTAATTACAGTGTTAAATTGGAAAACTAGTTTGCTGGGGCCAAACCCTCCTCCTTAGCTGTTTTATTAGTCTATAAAATGAATAGAGAACTCCATAACATTTGACGGACCTGAAATTCTAGATTATATAAGTTAAATATTCCGGATAATTTTCTTATGTGTCCCACGCAAAGCAAAGTTATAAAGGTTAAAAATTTTGCAACAAAACATTCGTTCAGCGATAAACTCCTAATTTATTTGTATGATTATGTGTTTCTTTTCAACCCCTATATACCCTATAACATGTGTTTTGTGTCAACCCCTACATGCCCTAAAACAAAATAAGTTTTCAAATATAATACTTCTGCCCGGCATGAGCCAGTAAATATTCCTTTTGTATTAAAGGTATATAACAATACTAATTACTGAATACATCTTGAAAAGTAACAGCTAAATTGCGTTTTGTTTATACCCTCTAGTCGAAGAGCATCAAGTTCTTTGACCTAAAATCTTTACCGGTCTAAGCTAAGCATCCTTCCGGTAATTGCTCTGTTTAATCATAAGAACGTTCGTGCGATTGAAGTCATAGAGATTGTGATTGGCTATTCCGTGCTGGGTCACTTGGAGATACTAGCTGCTTCTTGAAATATGACTCCTTCTTTACCTAATCAGGCGTGTGTGGATTGGCTTTCCAGAATCATCAATATATTGGAGGCTATGAAAACCATTCTACAGTTGAATTGACAGTAGAACTTTTGCAGGACACATTGCAAAATATTATGTGTTTGTTTTTTTGGTGGCTTAAGTGGTAGATGTTGATGTAAGATGCATCTGTTTGCACCATTTTCAGCAGTATTCTCCACTAGAAAGGCCCTCTCCAGATGCGATACTTGTAAAGACACCTTATTTCATATTACCATATTCTTCTCCTGTTTAGCTACAAGACATGACAATCCAGAAAGAAATGATGGTGACCTCTGAAAAGATATCTGATAGTTTGTTAAACTGATTTCCAATATTCCCGAATGGGAATAAGGCTATTTGTTTGGCAGATGGGTGGTATCAGTCTATGGAAAAAAAAGTG